TAGTCAATCTATTACTAAGCCTCCTTTCTTTAATGGTAATAATTATAGTTATTGGAAAAATAGAATGAAATTTTTCTTGCTTTCTATTGACTATGATTTGTGGGATGTTGTTGAAGAGGGATTTAAAATTCCAACAAAAGATGTTGACGGTGTTAGAGTTGTAAAGCCTAAAGAAGAATGRTCWATAAKTGAAAAGAAAGCATGTTCTTTAAATGCTAAAGCTATTAAWTGCTTGTTTTGTGCTTTGAATKAAGTTGAGTATAATAGGGTGTYTATTTGTAAAACCGCTAAGGATATATGGGATAAATTAGAAATTACTCATGAAGGAACTAGTCAAGTAAAAGAAACAAAGATTGACATGTTAGTTCATCAATATGAAATGTTTAAAATTGATGAAAATGAAGCTATTTCCGATATGTTTATTAGATTTACTAACATTGTCAATGCTTTAGAAGATCTTGGAAAAGAATATTCAAATCTTGAGAAGGTAAAGAAGCTCTTATGGTCCTTGCCTAAACAATGGGAGCCTAAAGTCACCGCCATTCAAGAGGCAAAGGATCTCAAGACTCTCTCCATGGACGAACTCATTGGTTCGTTGATGACGCATGAGATAAAGATCAAGAAAAACATGGAGGATGAGAAGAAAAAGAAAGAGAAGAGCATAGCATTAAAGGCCATCACCTTGGAAGTTGACTCCGAAGGTGAGAATGCTCTTGATGAAGATGATGTGGCCTATCTCTCACGTAAGTATAAAAATTTCATCAAGAGAAAGAAACAATTCAAGAAGAATTTCTYCAACCAAAAAGAGTCAAAAAGTGAAAAGAGMAAAAAGGATGAGGTAATTTGTTATGAATGCAAAAAACCGGGTYATATTAGAACCGATTGTCCTCTTCTTAAATCATCCAAGAAATCCAAGAAGAAAGCAATGAAGGCTACTTGGGATGATAGTGATGAAAGTGGAAGTGAAAGTGAGAATGAAGAAGTGGCCAACTTTTGCTTCATGGCTCATAGTGACAAGGAGGATGAACAAGATGATGAGGTAACTCTTGATCCCCTTTCTTATRATGAGTTGTTTGAAGCTTTTGAGAATATGCAAAATGATTTAGAAAAGCTTGGTTCTAAATATGTTATGCTTAAAAAGAAATACAATGTCTTAACTAGTGAAAATAAGTCTTTACTTGATGATATTGCTTGCTTAAAAAAAAATGAGCATGATGTTGTAAATATCTCTTGTGATAAGCATGTTCTTGATTGTGATGAGAAAAATACATTACTTGATAAAATTAGATTTCTTGAGCATGATGGTTGTGAAAAAGATAATTTGATTAAATTGCTTAAGAAAAATGAATCAAATGCTTTAGTGGAACTTGATAAGGCTAAAGATTCTATTAAARAATTAACAATAGGTGCTCAAAGGTTGGACAAGATTATTGAAGTAGGTAAACCTTATGGTGATAAAARAGGTTTAGGCTATATTGATGAATGCTCTACTCCTTCAAGTTCTAAAACTATCTTTGTTAAAGCATCTYCTAATATGCCTAAGCTTGTTGCTCCTAAAGTTGTATCTAAACATGCTAAAATTAACTTTGTGCCTATATGTCATTATTGTGGTGTTGAAGGTCATATAAGAYCTAAGTGCTTTAAATTAARATATGCTCAAACTACTAGAAGAAATTTTTCTCAAAGAGCAAAGTTTCACAATGCTCCAAGAAAGATTTTCTCCAATAAAAGTAGGATGCATAAATTTGTTGCAAAAGATAATTCATTGCATAATATTGTTTGCTTTTCATGTGGCAAGTATGGACATAAATCTTATTCTTGTTACTTGTCTAAATCTCATGCTTTCAATAAAAATGCAAAAATGAAATGGATCCACAAGTTCTAGGACCCAAACAAGTATGGGTACCAAAGGATCAAATTTAAATTTTTGTGTTTGTAGGTTTGTTTGAAAGCTTCTTAGAAAAGTAAGTGGTACTTGGATAGTGGTTGCTCAAGGCACATGACGGGAGACCAATCCAAGTTTGTCACTTTCTCCAAAAAGGATGGAGGTTTTGTAACCTTTGGTGATAACAAGAAAGGTAAAATAATAGGTAAGGGTAGTATAGGTAATGAATCTTCTATTTTGATTGAAGATGTACTTTTGGTTGATAGTTTAAAGCATGACTTACTTAGTATTAGTCAATTGTGTGATAAAGGATTTAGAGTTGTGTTTGATAAAAAGAATTGCATCATTGAAAATGCTARTGATAGAAAAGTTTTATTTGTTGGAAATAGAGATGAAAATGTGTATACTATTGATTTGAATGATTGTCCTATTAGTGATAAATGTTTATCGGTCTTGCATGATGATTCTTGGTTATGGCATAGAAGACTAGGASATGCTAGCATGCACTTAATTTCAAATATTTCCAAGAATTCTTTGGTTAGAGGTCTTCCCAARTTTAAATTTGAAAAAGATAAAGTTWGTGATGCTTGTCAAATGGGTAAGCAAACCAAGTCTTCTTTCAAATCTAAAAATATGATCTCTACTACAAGACCCCTACAACTATTACACATGGACTTATTTGGCCCTTCTAGAATTGCTAGTTTTGGAGGGAATTATTATGCCTTTGTGATAGTTGATGATTTTTCAAGATTTACTTG